TGTGTCTCAGGCTGCAACACAAGCATCATCCTTGCATCATCAAAAGTAACTCTAGACTGAATGCTGAAAAATAAATTAAAATCATATTTAGAATAACATCACAATCTGCAACATTCCTACATTTCATGTGGACCATCTACTTTATGTTGATAACTAGCTTGCCATTTACAAGTCATCAGCCAACACCAACAAAGCAACCAATGCCAGACTCACACCAGCTGAGCTTAGGCTACATAGCTGGATGCGCCTGCCTTGCATCAGTGTTGACTAGAAAGCAATCGTTAACCGTTACATCATGTACTGTTGGCTGTTTGTAAGTTTGTGTCATAGATCATGTTAGCTGGTAATTGGTAAGTAATTTAAAACCATTAGCCAGTTAACTCATAGTAGCCTATTTCATTTGCTACTGATCACGTCAATGTTAGAGAGCCACATTATCACAATATATTTGACTTTGGACTCCGTGCTCTGGTGGGTACCGGTCGTTTGTAGACATTAGCGGACTCATGATTATCAGCCAACATTAGCTGCTGCACAGTGTTGATAATGTAGTTAAGTGGACAGAGAATGCACACGTCACATCCTTTGGATTTGATGGATGCACACAGTCAGGCAACCAAGAAAGTTGGGGAAGGTCTTATTTTTACATATATTTTTACATATATATATATATATGTTTACATATTGGCAATATCAAGTGAATAATACATACAAATAAAATGTAAAATGCTTCAGATTCTTAGATATGGATCCTTTAAACACAGCAGCATGGTTTGCAAAATGGTTAGAAGTAAAGTAAAATCTCTTTTTAGTCATGCAGGAGAATTCACATCCCTAAATTTTTCCCTGACATTGACATTGCTTTTTATTAAACAAGATCCTTCACTCACCCTGTAGCCATTAAAGCCTGTTGTGTGTGACAAATTGTGCTGTGTCATGGCCATGGCTGGTAATAGCTGAGACCTCCCTCTCCGCTGTTCAAGATGGCTGCCTTCCAAGATGATGACCATGGGGGAAAATGGGAGGGGGGGTCGAGGTAAGGTCAGCAAGCTGTAGATACAGAAGGACTAGGTATCTGAAAGGTAACTGTAGTTCATATTTTTTTCAGTAAAGTTATTACATATAGTAGGTGGCAATTAACAGTCTCTCTCCATACTAGTCTGTCTTATCTCTCTTTCTCTCTCTCTCTGTCTGTCTGTTATAATTGCACACACAGACTTTTTGCCTGAGACCCCCTGCAGATTCATGAAATTCAGATGAGTTGGGTCTTTCTTTATTTCGGCTGTCAGATGAGAGGCTACAACTGTGTGGACAGCAACACCCACGCCCTGATTTCTCTCTCTGTCTTATCTTTTAGTCTCAACATATTTCTTGTTAGCTCATATTTATTTCTCATACCTCATTGTCATTGCCCTTGTTGCTGCATGTTTCATTGTGCTGATTTAAGTGTGTACCTAGTGCACACTCAGACATCCTGGAGGGGACTCCCTCTTTTAATGTTTTAGCTGACAGCGTTTTTCTCTAAAACGATTACTGAGAATTTCCCTTGTCTTTACTGAGGTTGGTGAGGTAGGCAGTTTAGGCAGACCTGTATTTCTTCAAGCTTTTTTTGTTTGTGTTTTCTGAATGACTGCTAAGTAGTTCTATCTAATTAGGTTTAGGTTTATCTTAAAGTTTTTTTTTTATATATTTTCTTTCTGTAAAACCAGAAATACTGAAAACATAGCATATAAAGCATAAATCTTTGTGAAGGTGTCACTTTGTGCTCTGGGAATGGAATGTCCCACTACATATTTTTACTTACGTACGTCATCAGTGCAGGACTTTTACTTGTACCAGAGTATTTTTTGGCAGTTACTTCTCCAGCAAAAGCACAGCAATGCATTTACGAATAGATGGTGCAATCCTGTTTAGATTGGTGTTGGATGAAGCTAGCCTCATATCGTAAATAGAAATATCATCATAATTTAATTTGAATACTGTGTACCTTGTTTTCAGTTTAATTTCTGTGTATATTTTCATTCTAGATGGTGAATAATAGTTTGTTTAGTGTTTAAAACTGATTATGTAAGAGATAGAACTACAAAATATATGCTCTGCTGTATCTGCAACAATGCACCTTGATTGAACCTTAAATGGTAAAAAACAAACCACACAGACGCAGGTTAATAGTGACTTTAGTGAAAAATCAAGAGGTCATGTCAATAGTCTCCAATCAGCACTATTCTTCATTTAGTCTTCTTGGCTCATAAAGAGGTATGGGAGGTCAGACTAATAAAAAAAACTCTTTGTGAGAGGGATTGACGTGCTTTCCTTCCCAGTAATTGGCTGCGGAAACCGTGAAAGCATAGAGTAATTGCATGTTGCTGTGTTTTAATTAGTGCTGAGGCTTACTGCACACTGCTTCCCCAGGTGGCTTGTAAATTCACCACACACAAAACCAAACAGCCACAGTCTGTAGAGAAGAGCTGTGCATCACTTTACATTACACAGATGATTGCTGGATTAAACATTTTCCATCCACGTCCTTTAAAACCTAATCCTGCACATGATTGTCTGCGGGTTGTAGAGACAAAAGTGAAGTCACAAAATGTACAGTGATATATTTTTCTAAACAAGATATTTGTATATACGTTGCATACGTTGCAGTACATATCTTTGCTTGCGTGTCCTTCACTTTACATTCCTTCTCAAGATGTCTGAGCAGGCCAGTTAAAGTAAATTAATGTAGTGGGAAAATGACCAGAGTAATTATGTGCTTGTCTGTGGTCTGGCAGAAGCTGTAGACATTGTCAGCGTTTAAATGATGAGACAATTTCTTGTGACTATATTTTCATGTTTGTGCATAGCCAACAAATATTGCTCTTTGCCATCTTTGTAATTCAATTCAATTCATTTCAATTCAATTCAATTCAATTTAATTTTATTTGTGTAGCACCAATTCATAACAGAAGTTATCTCAGGACATTTTTCAAATAGAGCAAGCAGGTCAGACCGAACCCTTTAACATTTACAGAGACCCAACAGTACCACCATGAGCAAACACTTGGCGACAGGGCCAAGGAAAAACGCCTTTAACAGGCAGAAACCTCGGACAGACCCTCGGGCTCTAGGTGGGCATCGCCTTGACCAGTTGGGAGAGAGAGAGAGAGAAGCAGAAGAGAGACAGAGAGACAAACAGATGTACAGCAACAACAGTAGCAACAACTACATTAATAGTAATGACCGATGACATCATGAAAATATCGGTGACGACCGACAGCAGCAACGATGGGGGACAGCGAGCAGCGACAAGCACACCGCAGCACAACAATACTCCAACAACAACAATAGTAATAACATAATATCCAGTGAAATTAGCAATGGCAGTCAAGCAGGACCAAGGCAGGGAGGCCCACCAGGATCCATAGAGAACACCTGCAGGGACGATAAGCACAAGAACCCGGGGAAGAAGTGAAGTTAGTAACATGCATAATGGGCAGTGAATAGTGAAGATAAGAGAAGAGAGGAACCGAGTAAGAGCTCATGCGGCTATGGGCACGAATCGGCCCGATAGTCTAAGGCGCTATAGCAGGCATAACTAAAGATGGTTCAGGACTCCACGCTGGATCCAGCCCGTAACTAGTAAGCTTTATCCAAAGAGAAATGTCTTAAGCGACTCTTAATATGTGGAGAGGGTGGTCTGCCTCCCGAGGAACCAACAACTGGAAGCTGGTTCCCACAGGAGAGGCACTTGGTAACTGAAGGGCACTTGGGCTCCTGTTCAACTGTTAGAGACTGATAGGAAACCACAAGTAACCCAGGCATTCAGAAAACATAGGTGCTAAGGGGTAACAGGGTACGTATGAGGCTCTTCAAGGATAAGAAGGGGCCTGACCATAAAGAGCTTTATAGGTAGGAGAAGAAATTTAAATTCTATTCAAATTTAACAGGGAGCCCAATGCAAGAGAAGCAGAAGAAACAGGAAGAATGCTGATCCTTTCCTGCCGTCAGTATCAGTTGTGGGGAAATGAATTACCTACAATTACAAATAAACAGCTGTTGTTAAGCCACAAAATTTACCAAATCAAAATAAATTGGAAAACTGACAAGATACTGACTGCAGACTTGCAATTATTTTGAAACTACATTTTGACAATGTGTAAAATCACAGTAAATCTCATAATATCAAAGATAATGGTAAACTTGATTACTATCTGAATTAGGGATGCTACTGAAATTGATTGGTTTATAAGATGATTATCAAGGAGGATTTATAATTACCAAATATTTATTTTTAAATTAACTGTTTTGGACAATGCAAGACATTTGGAAACATCACATGGTCTTTGAGAAGTGTTGATGGCCATTTTCACTACTTTCTGACATTTTATGGACTAAAAAAACAAAACAAGAAAATAAAACACAAATGATGATAAATACTCAGTAGTTACAGCCGTAATCCGTAGGCCGCGTTTTAAAATAATGTTTATTCAAATCACATTTTTTATTATGCAGAAGTTAAAGCTCAGAAAAAGAGAGAGATTTCGAATTGAATCAGCATCTGCATTTGTAGAAGGGGTGTAAGAAAATATAGAAAAAATACTTACTTATATTTTGTTCTGTTATATTCTGTCAATTCTCACAATCAATTCAACCATTGTATACATTTTTTGTGTGTAACCACTAGATGGCAGTGTTGTGAACAAAGTGCTGATCCAACTGTTGCGTAATAAACTTCTTTTTAAACTCAGATTTTATGCATGTTTTCTTTATACTATGACCGTTTTTTTTAAATCGCAATATATCACCTTACTTACAGTATCGCAATATATTGCATTATATTGAATTACACCCCCTGTATCATGATATATATCGTCAGATTATCAATAACCAGCCCTAATTTGTAGAATTCAGTACTGTAATTCCAGCTAACACCCTTTCTGAAAACCTGATCTTTGTACATTGATCATTTTGAACACATACACATGAGTTTATCTTTTCCAAGTTCAAAGCTCTTTTATTTGACCAGAGAACAGAAGAAAAATGTAAAATGTAGCCTTCAATTTACAGCAAACACATCTGGTCCTGAATAACATTCCAGTCAGGACAAATTAGGTCTGCTCAGAAAACCTTAATCAGCATTCATCAACATGCTTTGTAGTGACGGAAATCAGAAACAAAACCCCAAAAACTGTCTCATGTCAGCTTTAACTAAATGTTTGGTGTCAAGTAAGGCCTAATATACTGGGACAATGTTGAAAAGAAAATGTGCTTTTATAATTCAGATTTATTCATTCAAATTCTGTCTCTCCACAGATGCCCGCTGCTTGGCCCTGTGCCAGGACAGTGGTGTGTGGATCTTCCTGCCGGATTACTTCTTGCCGAATCTCTGGGGTACAGCCATACTCCAGATCTGACCGGGGGGAGCCTCCCAGTCACGGGAATGTATCTGATCCTCTGACACTACCTGCCCCCTGGAGCCGCGACCAAACCTGTGAGGGAGGAGAAACAGAGGAACTGACGCAATTCAAAGCAATATACGGTTTAAATGAAATCCTTTTTTAATGTATTTTGATTTAGTGGATCTTAGTAGGAACAACCACACAAAACAATGTTTTTGATGAGGCATAAACATGGACAATACAATACAATTCACAAGCTGCAAATACAAAAGAATCATTTTGTTATTCCATCAATCAAAAACAATCTCATATAATATATATGGTATTTTTCATTCTAAAATGTAGATATGTAAATTGAAAATGGTTGCAAATGCGTAAATGGAGTTTCATTTGATCTACATTCCTTATTCCTTATTCACAGCAGCCATTTTGACAGGAAGTAGTAGGGTAAAAACAGGTGTTACCAATGATACTAATTAAGCAGACCATGTAGCAGAGCTTGAGCCAACATACACAATAGCAGCACTCTGACTCTGTTTTACCTGAATGGAACAGAACCTTAATTAGTATCATTGGTAACAGCTGCATTTACCCTACAATTTGATGACAATGCAGTGAAAAAGGCCTATAAGTAGATGATTTGTCAGTCAACAATTATGATGATCGTTGAGTTGTCTCCATTGATTTTTAAGCCAAATTGTCAAATTCTCTGGTTCCAGCTTTAAACATTTTCAGCCTTTTCTTGTCTTACATTATAGTAAACTGAATATCTTTGGCTTTTGGACTGTTGGTCCGACATAACAATACATTTGATGACATTACCTATAACTCTAGGAAACTGGGCTTGCCATTTGTCACTGTTTCCTTTTATGACCAAATGATTAATTGAGAAAATAATCTGCAGACAATGAAAATAATTAGCTAGTTAGTTGGAGCCATATATCTGCATAGCTCTTGCGCTATGCTGATCATTTCAGAAATCAGAGTTATAGAGAGTTAAAGAATTGTAAGAGTCATATATGATGTTTTTGTTTTTCTGAAAATCCTTAGGTGACCCTAACATGGCAATGGGTTATGCAACATGTGTCGATATTAGTATTAGTATTACTAAGTATTAAATAAAGTTTTATAGGTTACTTATTTCTTGTGTGCTTATTTTTATGTGCAGCCTACTGTATGTGTGTGATAAATACAGGCTCTGTAATGGCACTGACCTCTGTGGCTGATGGAGGACAGAGTTCCTGGTTTCTCTCTGAGATCCGAGCAGCAGAGCTCTCAGCACTGCGGTCAGCAAACGATCATCAATGCTGTTATCTATGTTTTCACTCTCCTAGAGTACAGCAGGATAAACACAAACAAATGCAAAGCCTAGTATCAAAAAGCTTGTATTTAGTTTTTGTATAGAAACCCCACAAAAATACATAGCCATAACTGCATTCAATTTTGGGTTGCAACACAAACCCCAGGGGTTGTCGCTCCAGTCAGTCAGCCCTGCTGTGGCAAGGCACCTTGAGATACAGATATCAGTGTACAAAGGCAAATAAATGCACCTCATGTGCAACCAAATATTCATCCACCCTTATCTTTATGCAAAATAAAACCCAGATCTGTCTGTCTTTGCACGCCACAAGGAAAACGTTATATTTCTGACTCGTGATCTGAATCTTCCTCCATCCTGATCTGACTGTCTGTTGACCACAGAATACATAACAGTGTATTTCACACTCTTGCGTGAAGAGGAGCACTATCTGAAACCTAAATGGATTGTGTGATTTAGCTTGTCTCACTTGATAAAAGGGCACAAATCCAATTTACATACTTCATCACATGGAGTGGCAGACTTCTCTGAAAATGTTGGCATGACTTCTGGTTGTGCACAGAATTTTTCATTCAGTCTAATGTGGCACACATTAACACAGACAGTCCATATTTAAATCCTGCCTAGAGACAGACAGTATATTTTAACACATTAGCATGTGTGCCTGAGATACGTTTCAGAATCAGATTTTTATTTTCAGATGCCAAAATTATTATTGGAAATTTGTATGTAACATTAATTATATAGTAGAAAACACATAAATGGTGTTATTAAAAAAGTATATTTCCTTGTCACAGCTACAGATAAATCAAAGAGCTAAGGTTTCATAATTCAATACTCGAAATTAAAGATTTGCAATTCAAGTTTGTGCGTGGTTTGTTGTCTCACCAGCCCCAGCAAGTGGTCAGCCATGTTCTCCTCTGAGCCTGGCAGGATGTCATTTTTGTCCAGACTGCCTTGGATATGAAGAGCTCGACTGACGCCAGCCATCGCCATAACCAGACCCAGAAGAGTCACCACCGCAGCTGTGTCCATGGTCTCAAACTGCAGAGGAGGTCAGATGAATGCTGATGACAAAGGCAAACGAAGATTTCGGTTGTCCGATTAAACACTTTGACTTCTGCTCCAGCAGAACAAAGGAAGGACTCGTCCTGCTTGGGGTTAAGTGTCCTCTTTGTGTGGTGTCCTGGCTAACTTCAGTGGTGGCGACATCCTTTCGGTCTTTTATACACCTCACGGTCACTGGCTGGAAGCCCCAGGGAGAGCTGGAGAAGGATGCTACTGTACACAGGGGAACTGGGGACAGGATGGAAGAAGAACCATCCACTAATATGAGACTTAACTAGGGCCATTTAGCAGGATCAGGGCATTAGTGATGACTGAGCACCAGAGTGCGTTATTATGTGGCCCTCAGGGTAGTGCAACACAACTCTCTCAGTTATTAAACAGATAAATCCCTGCAAATGGACTCTGATCCACCAGTCCCTGTTGTCCAGTAGTCTGCACCACATGTACAATGCTCGAAAACACTCATTACCAACTTAATCATTCACCAAAATTTAACAGATTAAACCGGACAACTTAAGTGATCTAAGACAAGAAAGTAATGGACCTAAAAAACCTATTTCAAAGCAGGAAAACAAAGTAGACACAAAAGAAAAAAAAACACGAGAGTGACACATTTTCTGCTTATTAGTTTTTTAATGTTTTGCTCCAGAGCTAATGTTTCTAAACTAGAGAAAGTATCCACAACATCATCTCACACCTCAAGGTCTACAATAATATTACTGATTCATTTATCAGTGAAGGATTAACCTCAGTTAGAGTTTGTATCTTAATGTTATCTCGGAATAATGTTGTGAATCTTTACTTTTTTCCATTTAAAGGATAATTTTACAAGTGTAGGCTGAATTGCCCAAGATTATGTTTAAGATAGCATTGATTTTCAAGTAAAAGGTTTCATTTTTACTTACTACTGAAATTCATTATCAGGAACATAGTAAACATCTAAGTTTAAATGAAAATGTGTCACAAATGCTCTTGCCAAATGATTACTGGCACAAATGTAAAGCACACTATGGTGCAATAGTAACATTATGGGTCATAGAAACCTTTGCTTACGCAGTTAAGAGACGGTGTTAAGAGTGTTTTTCTTAACATGCTGATGAAGGGATTTCAGACAGAAGCTTCTCCCAAAGGAAAATGTCTTAGAATAAAAGCCCCTTATTTGTTAAATGTCAGCTTCCTTCATTTTGTCAATTTCAAACGAAGACAACTATAGCCTTGATTTGTGACAGTGGCTTTATTAGTGCCATATGTGTTCAATTTGTTTCAGTCTTTGGCTCAGTGTGTGTGTGTGTGTGTGTGTGTGTTTGTAATAATTAGTCACTTCCCCAATACTAGATGAGACATAAACAGATTTGGCTCATCAAAGTGCCTAATGGATGACAATCCGCTTAAACTGCAACACACACACACACACACACGCACCCACACACACACACACACACTCACGTCACAGTCTAACTGACTCTGTTTAACTGCCATGGCAACCAGGATGACATCTGAAAGATTCTGAGGGGAATTAGTTTTCATTTCTATAATAAGATTGGAAGCTTTTGGATTAGAGAAACATCTAATTCACTCACTCACACGTTGTGCTATTTTTTTTAACGTTTACATACAATATACACTTAGTGGTCACTTTATTAGGTACACCTATACAGTCTAATGCAACTAAAGTACCATAAAGTCTACTTTTATGAGGATCAGTTAGTGATGTGTTCTGCTGGACTGCATTAAATTTCAGAGGTGTTTCTAATATTTTGCCCCTCTCAAGAATATAGATAGGACAAACAACCAGAAACACTCACAGCTCACTAATCAACACGTTGTATCTTGTATCTTGTTTGTTTAATCCGTACAGAAACCAAAAGCCAAAATGTTGTTTTTACACTAAGCTGACTGGCTCCTGGCTGAAGATTCATATTGAGCAGACAGATATGAGAGTGATATAAATCCTCTTTTATAACTCATTAATAAAATGTTGAATTATTCCTTTAATCCTGCATCATAATTAAAGATAGAGTACGGGACTTTATTATATAAATGAACGCCTATCAAGGCCAGATAAATCTCTTTGTATTTTGTGGTATATTCCTGTGCTGGCACACTCAACTAGCAATGATTGGTTTGAGACGACGGGGAGACCAACCTTAGCAACTTGGGTAAGCTACAGCAAACCTAAGAGGCATCCAAGGAAGGTTTTTGATGCTCCAGATAAAAACGAAACTCTGCATTCAGAAAAAGGATTAGTCTAAAGTATAAATAAAGAAATCAATTACTTGTTAGGACAAAACGGGTAACAATTGTTGTGGTAGAAATTTCTTTTATTTTTTTATTTTTGTAATTTGTGGCTTTTAATGCCTTTATTTGATAGTACAGTTGAAAACAGATAGGGGGGACGACATGCAGCTGCAGCTTGGAACCGAACCCAGGCTGCTGCAATAAGACTCCATAGGGAACAGGCTCTACCAGGTGAGCTACCATGTGCCCCTAGCCTGGGACTTTCCAGGGCAATGAGTGTGATTAAGTCATAAGCATCTGTTGACAGTGTTTAATTACTCTCACTGCTAGAAATGGGAAGACAAGAGCACTGTAAGAGTAAGCAACATTTTCTGCATTTATTTCTGATTATTCTATCAAAGTGGAGTGAACACATTAGGGTTTTCCATTCACCCCTTTTTAGATACAAATCTAAGTGCTACCTAAAATATTGTCACAGTATCAATATCAAGGTAATGAGTGAAAAATATTTTGATACTGTAAATAATGCCCAGCTCTCCCTGTATGTCTTAGAACCTGAATATACATCTGAACTTAATGCTGGGCGCTCTGAAACCTGACCACACTAATAAACAGGTACATAAGAGGTTCATATTCTTCCATTGTACAGCTGACAAATATAATAATTTCTATCTACCCTCCTCTGATAGGGAGAAGGTCATCTATGCTTATATCCAATCTTTTTTATACTTTGCTGCGACACAAGCCAAGCATCTCTCTCTCGCACACACCTCCGGCTCGTTCAGCTGTATGGATTTTAACTGCACTTCAAGGAAAAGACCATGTATGACCAATTTAATCATCAGTTAGAAGAGGAAAGGAGCTGAGCATTTAAAGCTCGGGTCAGTCTGACCTTGAGCTATATATGGCTGACCTTTATGAACCAGAGGACAGCCTGCATATCCTCATGATGATAATGATGATGATTGTTAATATTATATGACAACCACAGTCCACAATCAGTTTCTCTCTTTACTTGTTATTGTTTCATTTTAGTTACACACACAAACACAAGATCTACATATTGTATTCAACAGAAATGTATAATACCTTTATTTCTTATGTGTTCTCCAAGAGGATGTACCTTCAAAAGCAAAGGTTGTGTTAGATGCATCAAACACTTTTCTTTTATATTCCACTAATCTGTGTTCTTGTGGTGGCAATATGTCTCTCCTTGTGTTTATAAATTCAAGTAACACTGCAAGGTTATGGGCCACATTACCATGAAAATAAGGAAGAAATGAATGCAAATGTATTCCATAAAGTGTTGTTACCTTGTAATTGTTTTTGTTCCATACTTAAAATGCCAATATTTGCATACTATAGCAACATTAATTTATTCTGTGTGTCACATAGACAAATCACAAATATCACAGAGACAATCGGGGTTATTACAGTTTTCAGACTTTTGCCTCCATCTGGTGTTTTCTGAGTGAACTGCGTGTTTATTAAATCAAATCTGGCTAAAATTCAACTGAGAATGACACGACTTAACGTTATCTGATGGGTTTATTTTGTTTCCTTTTATTTTATTTACAATGTTAAAACAGTGCAGCCAAACATAAAATAAATAAAACACTGAGTCATGAAAAAAAAAGAAAATGGGGGGAACGTAAGAACAGCAACAGGAGCTTCATGCAGCTAATACAAGATTGTCCAGCAATACCTAAAAAACAAGCTGACTCTTCATGCTTTACAGCCACTTCATCGACCCAAATTACATCCAAAGAATGTTTTTCTGGTTCCTTGTCGACATATTCTGCTCTTCTAGAAATCTTCTCTCCTCCGGGATGTTTATTTATCCACCGGTGTCCAGCAGATGCTTCAGGGCAGCCTGATCTAATTAAACAAAGTTGCCTTCTGTTCTTTACCGGCAGCTCACAATCTGCCACTTTCACCATAAGGCACTTGTTAGAAATGTCAGTACTGAAATTAAAGTACATTACCAGGAACAGTGCGACACGCTGGTTAATACAACGCAACTAAAAGGTTTTGAAAAGTATTTATACAAAAGCGATGATATCTCAGTAAAAAATAAAGGTGGTGTTGCTTGAAAACCTCATAATTTAGATTTATCTAATTCAGTCATACATGTAGGCGTTAATCTGAAACCATTGTTTCACACATTATCATTTTATACAGTGGGACACTGTTACGAGCCTGGACATCCATCCAGTGTTTGGTTCAGAAATTTAAATGCTTACACTGCAAATGGGCTGACCATATTTTAAATATTGCTTGGCTTTTCGAACATATTTGGTTTTCATGCAATAACAGGCTGTGGTTTTGTTGTTCTTATTCAAGTTCACTCAGGCAATAAACTATTGATGTACAGGACATTTGACTGACATATTAACAACAAAATGACAAAGGAACTGACACTGAAAGTCTCCTCCTTTATAGAAGGCTTTTTTCCCTTGAATAAAGATATACAAAAAACCATGAGCTGAACTTCTTGAATGGCTTTTTAAGAGCAAACAGCAAGCCCAGACAACAACACATTCAGTGTTCTGCAACATTTAACTTTACTGATATCTTACATACTGACATTTCCCCAACGTTTACCAGTGCTGACTAAAAGATAATTCTAAAACATCATTTATATATAAAAAAACAAATTTTTTCATTGCCCATATCAGTCGTCAGTCTTACAGTAGTTAAGGCAAAAGTAGTCGCGGGCAGTGGCTTCTTCATCAACAATGTCCAGTCTGTATGTGTCTAATATTATACTCTATGTTTGTGCATTCATGCATGTCTTTGAGTTGAGTGATTTTCTGTCCTCCTTTGTTCTGTCAGTCAGAACTGACAGTGAAGTCCATGTGAGCATCAGCGCTCCTTCTGCATCCTGTAAAGCATATTGAGCAGCTATACTGGTTCTAATATTGTTTCTGGCCTTCAGCATTTACTGTAAAACACTGATATAGTTGCACAGTGTAAATAGACTATAGGCCAGCCATCAGCGTGCTACAATATAGGAGGATATAGATCCAGTCACAGTGTAACAGGCTACCAATATGCAAGTACTGACACAGTACAGTGTGCACAAGATATCATGATCTCAGTCTATGTGCACTTTTTTAGTCCGTTAGTTCCAATGCAAAGACAGAATGAGTGCCACACATGGTGATTTGAATTAATTCAGTCAGTCAGTGCTTCAAAGCGAGTTATGAGGTCCCATCGCTCCAGTGTGTGGCCCATTCCTTTTTATGGACAACTCCCGACTTCTCAGTCTGGAACTGTGGCCGGTCCTCGCGAGGAATTTTCACTGCGTGGTACTGAGGCAACTTGTCTTTGTAGTGGGCACGTTGGAAAAAGCCACACTGTCGGCACAAGAAAGAGGGAAGCAGGTAGGTGTGCGGAAAGAGGAAGAGAGGGGCAGAAAGAAAGGAAAAAACAAAGAATTTATGTCAAATATAAGAATGCAAATGCAAATCACCTTCATTTGTTTGCCCTTATTTCAGGACATACCATCGTCTAATATCATGCCTCTTAAAAGACATATAAAATGTCACTTATTCCACTAATGTCTTCTAGTTCATCTCAGACAGATGAGAAGAAAAACTGATTATCTCATGACCTTGTGTAGTCAAGGTGACTTTCTAACAAAAAGGTACATCCACCCAAAAAGCACATCCACATGCTCTGCATTTCTACTTCAGTGTCAGACCTAAGTGCCCCCGATGAACAAACACACTGCCAAAGTGCTATTAAGAAAAAATGCACACATCAATACAAACAAAAACACCTGGTGATTTTAATGTCAAGTTGATTCTGGCACCTGAAAAACACGAGGTGCAAGCCAAATAGGAGTTTTTTAATAGACTCACAAGCATGTGACAGGCACATCAAGAAAATGAATACATTTTCATAGACTGGTGCCAGAATGAACAAGTGTAGATAATTAATGTCAACAGCAGTGGCACAACACACAGCACAGCAGGCATCTGAAACACCTGAAGGAGAGATGGCTGGATGGTGTTCAATAGGCACAGATAAAAAAAAAAATGATCCAAATAAAGGAATCAGTTTTGAATTAATCTCTACAACTATTTTGCTATCCATGACATAATACTAGAAAGAACTACAGTGGCCAAAAGTGTACAGGTTGTTTCAGCAAGTGCCTAAAGAGACCGTAACCATAATTGACCATTCATTAAAGCCCTCCCAGGCTTTGTATTTCTCCGCATCTTGAAGCAGTTTTCATGTGGTATTTTAGAGCCTTGTTTGTCCAAATATGAAGCCTAAGTAAATCCGGCAATCAGGCTAATGAAATAATATGACCTCTTTTTTACAGGGTCTCTTACAGAGGAAGCTGGAGCATTAAAATGTCAGCTGGAAACAACAACCAACTCATATTATCTGAGTGCCTAAATGTGCTAATATTTAATATTATAATGAACACCACCAGCCACACCAGAGTGGAGGAACAAAGTCAAGGAACAAAGCGATTGTGGGTGAGGTTTTTTTTTACCGCTTGGAGGGAGAGGAGGAGGGGAGAGCAGGCCAGAGTGAAATATTCTTTATATTATAGTTCTGAGGCCTGCTTCTCCGCCTCCGAGGGTTGGACCCCCAAATGGGCGCGGTAGTACTCCGTGTCATAGTGTCGGCGTCGCTCACTGCGTTTGAAGAACCCACACTGGGCAACAGATGACCACAGGAAAGTTTGGGGAAAGTAAAACCGGGGGAAAAAACAAAGGGGAATGAAATAAAAAGGGGATAGAGAGTGGATCCCCAGATAGAATTGAGGGGAAACAAAACAAAAGAATGA